TAAAGTGTGCATCCACATTTTTAGCCCAAACTTTCAGGAAAAAATTTTGTTTTAACATTTTAATTAATTATTTAATTAATTAATTAATATTCAGAAACAAGACTGATTATTGTATTCCAGGGTATTATTTTGCATATGGATATCACTATTGCTTTCTACAGTTTCATTTTAAGCATGTAAACATAAATAAAAAGAATTACAAACATTTATATAGATACAACATTTGTACCACACATGTATATTGTATATCCTTACTTTTCCCTCAAAAATTTGGGAAAAATTGCACACTATACATGGCAAAATGTGGTATATATAATGGAATACTACTTGGCCATAAACAAAAACTAGATTTAATTTCTAATTTGAGTCTACCACCTCCTATTAAGGAGGTAGAAACTCAATCTATGTCATTTGGGGGTTTCCTTCCCTTTCCCACAGGGTTTTGTCTAAGTTTCATGAAAGCCTATAGAAAAGAGACATTGGGAACAGAAAAGCATCATGTCCTCCACATCATTTCCTCTGGTCTTTGGCAATGGGCCCATAAAAATTACTGGTGAATTTTTTCTCATCCTTCTCTACCAGGTCTTTGCATAATCAGCTGTTTCCTTCTTTAATTCTAGGTCTTTCTAGTGGGTGATTATGCTGTATAAGCCCAGCTCTACATAAATACTTCTTCTTTTTCCCTTCTTGTGCTGCCTCTCCAGGAAAATAGCTGGAAAGAACCTCACACTCTCTCTGCTCTCAGATCCCATAAAGTTACTTGACATTTTTGCCATCTCCTCAGGCTTTAGCCTAAATAACAGTGCACAAGTTCTATCTTTCTGGTACCCACTGATGTTTTTGCTCTTATTATTCTCGCTCTGATTTCCTCTTCTCCCCTAACTGGAAAATCTTTTGGTGTCTATGAGGGAAACTTTGTATCCAAATACTTGTCCTATGTTGTGTGTCTTTTCTGTTTTCCTACGAAAAGCCTCCTCTATTTTCCACTTTATGAAGAAACATGGCTTTTCTGAGTCCATGAGCTTAGAATAATTGAGCTCCATGGAGTTGTGGCTAGACCAAGGCGGAAGTTATAATACCACGAAGTTTGGTTAGTATTGCAAAAATCTTCTACCTGGTCTTTTCTATAATCAATGTAGTTGAAACAAAGGAAGAAGCTGTGAGGCAGGGTTTGGGGAATGGGCAGTAACAGGGAATGTGTCTGGGTTGTGGGAGCAGCAGCTGAAGGTTAACCAGAGGGATGCTGTAGGGTCTAGGTCCTAGAGGTTAGGATTAGTCAAAGGTACACAGAAATTGAAGAAAACCAGGTGTTAATGGACTAGGGCCATCCTGGAGCAGATCTGCCTCAGGTCAGCCTGTAGTATGTGGGCTCTTGACTTCATGTAAGAAAGATTTCACAACACAAGTCAAGGTGCCTTTGAGAGTATGTTTATTAAGGCTGGGACAGTGAAAGGAAGGACAGGGTAAAAGATGTAACAGGAGAGAGCCTAGTGGTGCTCTGCACTGACTCTTTAGAAATGTTATAGGAAAGGAATGAGCCAAGCTAGGAAATAAAGGTCACAGAGACAGAAGGGAGCCAAGGCAGGGCTGCTTTTTAGCTCACTGGCAAGTTAGAGAAAAAATGGGTTCTTGAAGATAGGATCAGGGGTAAGTCTGGGTAAAGCTGCCACAGCCTGCTGCTTCCCTGGCTACAAGTCTTGCGGAGACACTTAAGAGTTTAGGAGGAAGTAAATTCATACCTGGGAACAGGCATAAGCAAGCTGTAGAGTAAGCCCACCCTGGGTCTTTGTCCCAAGGGCTTTTTATTGTTTTTCTGTGGGTGAGAATCTTAGAGGAGCGTTTTGGCTTTTGAGATGCATTTTCAATGCGCTAATGCATCAGAATCAGCACATAGCGGGTTTGAGGAATATTCTTTGGCTTTTTATATTGTTTTACTTTTATCTTGAGTTTGTCTGGCTTTTAATGTTTTGTTGTTGTTGCCGTAACTTCATCTGTCCTTGAGTTAGCTGGCACAAATGACATAAATTGAGTTTCTGTTCTCTATTTCCCAGGTCAGGGAGATTTAAGCTATGTATTCAATGGTTAGGAAGAAAAGGTATGGATCATTCACTCTCAAGTGTCCTTAGTTAGGGGAGATAAGGTCTTGTGATCTCACCAGCTGAATATAAGTTCTTCAAACTGTTTGGCCTTCAAACTGTGTTTAATTTTCTTGTCAGTTTTCCTGTTCCACTTGGCCAGGAATTCTCCTAGCTTTTTACTATCCTGTAAATACACACACATACTCTCTCTCTCTCTCATGTTCCTGTGGTCAAACAAGACTGGGAAACATTACATACTCTTCCCAGTCCTGAAACTCTCATTTCATATCAGCATATTTCAGAATGTGTGAAGTCTTGCACTACAGATACCTGTTTGAATTTGTTTAATGCAGTATTTCCCAAAGTTAACTTCCTCAAAATTAACTGCAGCATTTCACCCTCTAGCCCAACTTGCAAAGCCCCATACCTCAAAGCAACTTTTGGAAGTTTAGGGAACTTGTCCCATAAAGCAAAGTTAGGAAAACACTAGTTTAGTAATTTCTATCTATACAGATTTTGCAGTCTGAATAAATGTAAGGAATTTTGAGTGACAACTGCACCCAAATAAAACTTTAACTGACCCCTTAATTAGAAATATAAAATACAAATTTTTCAAAAGTAAATTGTCCTTACCATTTAGAAATGTTGCTGAGACTTACTTGGCTTTGGGTATAGTCCTATTACTTCCCACTACATCTGGTGTAGGTAATAAACTACCAAGGTGTGCAAATATTGAACAGGTCCTATTAGCCATGGCTAAATTTCATATATACATGAGCCTGACCATTTTAATATGGCAAAGGTACTCTGAACTTTTTTTTTGATACACACCTCTTGGAAACACCAAGAGTGAGTGTAATAGAAGCTTTTTCATTTATAGTCTGCACAAGGAGCATATTATGGATTCATGCCAGTGGGGTGAGCACATAAAGCCCATTGTTAGTGGGCTTCAAACGTGGCAGCAAAGAGTGAAGAGATCATCACCATCTCTAAATATAATGAAAATCTAACTTTATGATGCTCTTCTTAAATGAGCTTTTTTCATGCTACTTGGCCATGCATTAAGTCTTGGCATACACACACACAAAATAAAAACAGTAGTTCTAAAGGTTCATTTATGCTGGCTAGATTATGAAAATTAACTCCTCAGATGTGGCTCTAAAGCAGTCATCGAAGGTGAGTATAATTGAAAATAAAAATCTGAAAAATATTTAAAATCAATAAGACAGTGAACAGACAGAATGTAGTCAAGACACCACTCTTCAGATATATATCAGTGTATGTCATAAAGAAATAAAAAGCTTAATTCTCCAGGGAATAGACATTTCTGATTCAGCAAGGCATATTTTCTGGGAACAATATAGCACAATCATTCTTATGGCAGCGGCACACATGCAGGGTATACAGGTTTAATACAATGTTAAGGTTAGGTTGCTTGTGCTGAAGATGTATTTAAAATGTGATAAATTGGGTTAATTAATTCTCTAAAATATTCTAATCCTGGGTCTTAGAGATAGCCAGGCCTCTCTCTAAAGCTTGTGGCTTCTGTCATCCTGCTAATTCACACAAATATTAGCCCTATACTGAAAAGTACTGTTCCTTCAAATGTGTATAGCACTGTTAACAATGATTTTAGGTGGTCCATGGAGTAGGTTTTATTTCAATAATGAAGGTGATTATGGTGATACTCTAAAACAGTGGCCATGTACTATGGCGCTGCCAAGCAAAAATTCTACATTACTTTTTTAAGTGGTTTTCACAAGACCATGTGGTAGCTACTATCTCCAATGAACAGAAAGGAAATTGAGGCACAGAGAGGCCAAGTAACTTGCTCAAAATCACACAGCTGGAAATGGGCAGAGATATAGATTCAAACTCAAGAAGTCTAGCTGGGAGTTCGTGCTTTGCTCATGTAATAATGCTGTAACACGTAACTATGTGGTTTTGTTGGGGGACAGTGGTAAGGGAGACCTAAAGGTTAAGGATCTTTGTATAATGTGAAATGAACGTTAATAGGCAAATGACAGGCCAGAAATCTGGGTTAAGATCTTGCTGCAGGCCTTCTGAGATAAAGAGCTCCAACTTTAAACTTAGCTGCTTTCAGTGTTCCCCAGAAAACTCTCTTATGCAGATAGAAAAATCTTTCTGCTTTTACATATTTTTAAGACACCACATAATCACATTTATATGGGAATTATAAATAATTCAGATGACTCTGAATAGGGGATTCAATTATTATATATTACAATTTAAGAAAAAAATCAAATTTAAGAGAAAGCTGACAATACGATCAGCAGCATTATAGGAAGTTTCTTGTTCATTTTCTCCAGAGGTTCAACCAGAATACTTTCTAAGAGGGCACAAGTTTAAGGTCTAGCTAGGGAATAAAGACATGTTTTGTCTGACACCTTCCAAGTCAAATCCAGAATTTATCAAATGATTTTAAGTGCTGTATTAAAAGAGAGAGAGAGCGAGCAGGAGCTGGCAACCTGGGTATATTAAGCTTGCATTATTACAAATTTGTATTTTAAAAACCCAATATATTTTTGTAAATACGCAAGTGTTCCTTTGATAATTTCTCTTTTTTTAAAACCACCTCTCACTAAAACATTTTAAATAACATTCCTATATCTAAAATGAAATTATGACATTTGGGAGTTTAAAATCTCTCCAAATTCAGAGGTGAAAAAAAGCTGCATAACTATAATTCATCTGAGTGCAAGTCATAATAAAAATATTTAAACCCCCCAAATAAAACCTTAGAATGGCATTTAAAACATAAAAATGTACTTACTGGCATTTAAAAATTTTTTCATGCAATTTGTTATTCATTAAATCAGAAGAAAGTGTGCACTACCATTTTTGATAAGGCAAACAATATTCAAAATGGGCATTAACTAAACACAATCAGCCACCACTATGTGAAAAAAGAAATGCTTTAATGAGGCTATCAAGAACAACATTTCGATTATATCACTGGATACATTAATATCGATCCATAATATATAGTGCTATAGACCATACAGAAATTATTGCTGGATCCAACAGCAGATGACTACATTACAGTACCAAGCATCCGAAAGAGACAGTCATTTGTCATTTTTTTCAAGAAATAGAGTTTTTTAATACACTGTTATCAACATCAACTTTTTTCCAGTGCATTTTAAAAATATATCAATAAGTGCATTCCTTTGTGCTCTATTTTGTATCTTTTAACTTCCTACATATTTTATTTGTTCTTATTTTTTTATTTTTAAAAAACAACCAGAAAGAACTTTGTCATTCTATGTATGACAGGTTGGTTGTATGGTTTTTGGCAAAGTCAGAAGGCTTGGTATTTCCATTACCTTACACAGAGGCAGGTGGACAAGTTTGGCATTTTGTCACTCCAGGTGGAAGCCCAACCCCGTCACAATTTTGCACCCAGGGATTGGGTAGTGGTGTGGATCATTTTCTCATCACAGAAGGCAAGCCCAAACCACTGCCTCTTGGCTTAACTAGTCCCTAAAACAAATCCATACTCTATTTGGCAAAAAAGAAATAAATAAAACCACCCCTGAAGTTGCAGCATCCTGGGCTTACTCACCTGCCACTCCCAGAAACTATCTCTTAAGAAGGGGATGGGGAAGCAGGTGATGATGAGCTCAGGAGTTGTGAGACCCAGGACAGTGGCACGAGTTGCCAAGCTTTCTCTCCACAAAGCTTTCCATACTGTTGCTTAACCCCGGCCAAATTCCCTGGGCCTTGGTTAGTCAACCTTGTTCTATTTTTAAGAACCCTCCAAATTAGAGAAAACTAGCATCATACCATTGCAATCTCAGACTTTTGTACCCAGCTCCCCTTCCCCCATATAAATATGAAGAGAAAAATAGACAATGCTATGATTGTATCAATGCACACTATGGTACAATTAGCTTTTCATGCACACTTGCATCACTGTTCTAGGAAAAGAGCTATCTATGTAATTAAGGAGGTTGAAAGAATGGGAACTAATTTTCCCTACTCCCTTAAGTAATAAAGCTATAAAACTGATAGTGTCATCAAATTTCCAAGGATTCTCACTGCCCAATGTGCACAGGAACTATGTATGCAGTGAATTATTTTCATATAAGTCATCCATTCACACATTTGACAATCACTCCTTCTTGAACCCTCCAATACCTATCACCAAATCACATTTGACATTTAAATTCATTTTCTTTTTAAAAAAAAAAAAAACCTTCCTGAATAAGGTTTCCTGATGAAAGAAGTTGGCACTCTGTCACTAAAATATATTTAATATTAAAAATATCTGAAGAATTGGAAGCTCTTATATTGTCTACATAGGCACCATGCTACATGTTCCTGACTATAAACTTTCTCCTGCAGTACACTTCAGTCAGTGCTAGTTCCAAAAAAGACTACTGCTATATTTAAGGCACTTCATTCTGAATCGATATGCTTTATGCCACTGCTATTCAATTGTAGGCTGCTACTGAGAAATTCCATTCAACAGCCTGGCTCTTAACATCACAGGTCATCTGTATAAAACACGTAGGCCTGACAGAATACATGTAAGACTGCTCTTATTGCATAGGACTACACAAGGAGATAATGCACAGAGACTACCTTTACAATATTGCTGCTTGTTAAACAGTTACCAAGTACCAGTAATTGGCCAATACAGTATTTCTCCTTAAAAAAATTCAGCAAGTTTGCTGAAATAAACCTCAATTTAAATGACAATAATGGGTATATTAACACTATGGTTACCAGTCTCCAAGAATATTGCTATTTTTATATCACTAAAAATAAATAAGTTTATTCTCCCTAGAAAGCCAGTTTTACCTATTAATACTACATCTTAAATGTGTGAAAAAACAGTTCTGAGTGAGACTGTAATATACAAAATATTTGCAGAGCTCTTTAAACACATGAACTTTCTTTCATGTGTACAAAGAATGCAGAAAACCATCAGTGAATTGTAAAAATATTGAAAACTTGCCATTTTAAGATGCATATTTTTACAAATTAACATAAACATACTGAAAAGAATGATAATAATAAAGAATCTGTACAAATCAAATGAACAGTAAAACATAATTTAAAAATAAAAATTGTAAAGCCAATTAGAAATGTGCCCAGATTGGTTTTCTTATCAAAAGTAAAATTGAAGGAAAAAAAGTAAAACACTCAGTGCTCCTCAATATTTTACTTTGAGAAGACATTAATTTTCATTTAAAAATAAAATATATCTTATGGAAAATTGAATCATACTCATTGATGAGGACAATTATAACAGCAGAGAGTGAAGATTCAACCCCAAACTTCAGAGCCCTGATATGTCTCTCTGCAATTTCAGTGATAAGTAATGTTTCAGTTATTTTTTTCACCAGACAATCCTCCTGAATATGGCTGTATTTCTTTCTTTTGCAGAATATAAGTATTTCTTTAAATAGTCTACAGTATACTGATGCTAGTGGGTACTGTATCTTTAAGGCAGTACCAACGAACACATTTACAAAATGGAAAAGGTTAGTCTGAATTTCTTTTCTTTCGTCTCTCTGCCTGCCTGCCTGCCTGTCTGTCTGTCTCTCTCCCTATTTATTTTTGGTTGCTTTTTACATTCTTCCAATTAAACTTTATATTTAATTTCCAAGGAAGTCACAGGCATAAAAATCTCCAACCCGTTTCACCTGAATAAGAATGGACAGAAATTTCCATGATGCAAAATCTTCTTACTCAGAAAGCTAACGTCTAGGGTGAATTCAGTTTAGATATACTGTACACTTATTGTACAATACTTTGGAGGCATTTGTAGCTGTAAAATAGAATATACAAGTCTGTTTCACAAAATTCAAAAAATAAAATATATCCTGGCTATTGATAAAGCATGAAAAAAATTCATATTAAAGGGAAATTATCGAGACAACCCCTCAGGTCAATTACTAAATCTACTGATCAGGAAAGAAGCAGCTGTGAGAACAAAGAGCAGGGAAGACTTTGCTAACATGCATGCTCTGGTTCCTCCATGCTCATACTGCTCCTCCGGCTGCTCGTTTTGGAAGCTCCCGGGGACACTGACGAAAGAAGTGGATCAGTTACACCAACAGGAGAAAGAGTATCATCCATCAGGATGTCTTCTAGTTTAGAACCCATTTTCGTCGGGACACTATAGGCTTGGCTGCTCTCGGCTCCAGTTCCGAGGCTGTTATTGAAGGTGATAGTGCCGTCCGTGAGATCAAGGGTTGTTGTACAAGTCAGGTCTGAAGGATGCTGAAGGAGGTCTTGGCTGCAGTTTTCAAGAGAGGGTTCTTGCTTGATGATCCGATTCACCAAATCTGGAGAGCAGAGACCCGTGGATGGAATAAGGGAAAGTCCATGAGCTCGAGCCTGCATCTCAAGTTCCTAAAAGAAAAGTCAAAATTAGACACTGAGACAGAGGACAGAGAGTTTCAGGGCAGTGAGACTACTACTGTAGGAGGCAGTGTAATGATGGATCCATGTCATTATGCATTTGCCCAAGTTTGCAGGTGTGCAACCCCAAGAAAAAAATCTACTGAAAGTGTAGGGATCCGCAATGATAATGATATATCAATGCATGTTCATCAATTGTACCACATTTTGGTTGGAGATATTGATTGTAGGGAAGGCTGTGTGTGTGTGTGTATGTGTGTGTGTGTGTGTGTTAAGGGGAGCAGGAGATGTATGGGAAAGTTCTGTACCTTCTGCTCAATTTTGCTGAAAACCTAAAATTGTTCCAAAAATAAAGTCTATTAAAAAAATCACACTTAGAGAGAAAACAATAAATAGTAAAATATTTTGCTCTTTTCAATTAATAATGCCATATTTTTGAAAGTAGAGTGTGTAAGTGCCACTGGTAGTAAATGAAATGTTTTTAGGTGGTATATGGATTTTATTATGTATTAAGTATAGAGACAGTCTCTCACAGATGTTAATGTTCACAATGAGGATAAGTTAAAAAATATCAAAATAAAATTTCAAAATGTGAGCTTGTTAAAGGAAAACATTGTCCTGTGGTCCCTAAACTGTGTGCTCAGGTATCCAGGGGTGCTGTAAAGAACTCACAGAGCCCTGGACACATTTAAACATTTCAAGGGAAATGGTGATACGACTGTGAGAACCATCAAACTCAAGGTATTTTACCTTTTCAACATTTTGTTGTGCTATACTCTCTTCTATTGCATCTTATCATTGCAAAGCTGGATTTGGGAAGATTATTTTGATAAATGACAAGTACTGTAGGAAAACCAATGTGCAATGAAAAACGAAGTGGCAGTGTCCAATCTGATTCCAACATTCAGGCACACATGTCCCATTAGTAAGTAATGTGCTTATTCTAAAATAACATTAAAATGCTATTTTTCTTTTAATTTGCATGTTTTATATTTTCAAATGGCTACTAAGTTGTTAGGGCCTAACAGAAGTGGTAGGTATTTCCATTGGTCTAGGAGTACAGTGAAAAAATACCTTAGACACCAAGAGCAGTATGAACTAAGAAAGTCTGGGTAGTAATGGCAAAAGTTGTAAAGGTTCTACACAAGTAACTGAAGGTGGAGAAGCATCATTTAGCCCCTCTCACCTCGAGAAATGGAAATTATTTTTAATTCCAGAAAAAAGTCTGTTTCTGTAAGATGAATAATTCTTTCCTACTTTCTTCACATTTTGTATGCTGAAATCCTAAGCTCCAGTATGGTACCTCAGAATATGATTATATTTGGAGATACTGTCTTTAAAGAGGTAATTAAATTAAATTGAGATCATTAGGGTGGTCCTAATCCAATATCCAATAGGACTGGTGTCCTTACAAGAAAAAAAGATTAGGAAAGACACACACAGAAGGATGACAATGTGGAAACACAGGGAGAAGGTGGCCAGCTACAAGCCAAGAAGAGTGGTTCTAGGAGGAACCAGCCCTGCGGACTCCTGGAGAAAACGCAGAGAAAAGAAATCTCTGTTGTTTAAACTGCCCAGTCTGTGATGTTTATTGTGGAAAACTGAGCTGCCTAACTGAATTCCTGTGTCAGAGACATCATTTCAAAATGTCTTTCGAGGGGGGCCTTCCCTCCCTGCTTCCCAAGTATCCCTGGGCCCTCCCAAAATGACCCCTGGAGGCCCCAGTAGATGTCCCAATGTGCATTCTACCTCCTCATGAAGATGCTATTCTTTCTATGTTTGTGATACAGTAACACAGTAACAGGAGAATATAAATTTGAAGCAAGTCACCTTGCCCCATCAGAGAGGGAAGGGTGTTCCTAACACGACATGGCCTCTCAACCTTTGTCCATCAGTGTTCTGGAAAAGCCATGTTCAGTCTATATTAAAGGTTGTTTGATCCAGGGGATCTTTCTTTGGATGCAATATAAGGAAGAAATGAGAGTCTGAGATGTCACAAAATGTACAGAAACACAAGTCTCTCAGGCATCATTTTAAAGCCCGGGGCTGTTTAATAAAATGGGAGTTCGATGATATTCAGGCCTCATGCTCTTTCTTCTGTGAAAATTTTTGCATGCATCACTTAAAATGAAAATGAAAGGAAGCCCTTAGGTCCAAGCTGAGAGTATCTACTCTCATAAATCTAAACCAAAATGCTAATAAGAATAGCACTCCCACACATGTAGTTTGTCTTTTCAAAAAAACAAACAAAACCCCCAAACAATATCTTTGATTAAAAGGCAAATATCTTACTCTTTTGTTATTTAGTTTAAAATATTAACTAGCTAACTAAAGCACTGCTTAGATTTCTGAATAATGTGACACATCTCACCTGCAGGCCTTAGGCTCAAGGTACTGCAGATCTTTCCTAATTAGTCACATGTCCATGATACAAAAGTACTAAAGGCTGCCTCACACGGTCACTGGAGGAAACCCAAGATGTTGCCACCATGGAATTTCCAATTCACATATTTTATAATATTCATATTTCATACAAATAGACATATTTGGAAACTTAAAACCTATCCTCTTTCAAAAAATTATATTTTAATATTTGAATAAGGAAATAACTCATTAGTATAAGTTGCTCTTATAAACTGATATACTAAGTTCAACAGATTAAAGACCTATGGCTGAAGAGGAGGACATGGAACAAACAACAAAAGCCAAGTGAAAGGAAAAAGAGGAAAGGAGGATTTTTAAATAACAGCTAACCCCTACTTCACCACTGAGATTCTAAAACGTGCCCCCTAGAGCACAACTGTCTTCACCTCTCCGCCCCATGGCTGAAGATCACTGCACTGAAGTGAGAGATGTGACATCTAGAAATGGCAACTGTGTTGTGGGACATTAAAAAGATCAGAGACCATTATTATCAATGAATTACTCTGTTAAATACATCCAGTGTCTGGGACTCACATCACTAAAGGGAACATGCTGGTCTCTGAGGTGTCACATTTTGCACTGCCATTACATAAATAGTTGCCTTGAAAACCAGAAACGTAACCATTGCTTTACAGCAAAATCTGGTAAAAGGTGGGTTCATCTATTCAAGAAGGAGGTATGGTATCAGTGACTCTTGCTGGTGGGCTGACTTCAAAGTTAGCCAGTAAATTAAAAACACTCTAGCAAATTCCTTTGGTCATTAGCAGACTCAGTTGTCTTTTTTCAAGATAGTTTCAGTGGTAGTTGTGTCTCAGCATAAGAGGTCTGGTGCCTAAAGAAGTACCAGAAGCTGATGCTAAAGAGGGATCCCCTATTCCATGCTTATATTGGTATGCATACTTCCCAAATAAAATGACAGATGAATTCTATGTATCACTAAAATTAGTATTTCTCCCACTAAGAACATATAGTATAAGTTAAGGATACACATGGCATAATTTCACTTTTTGTACTATTTTTAAAATTTATATTGTACCGATGAGATTCTCTGTGTGCCTCTAAGTTCCCTATAAACATGTGTTTTGATCATGAGCCATAATCCCCCTAATGCAAAGGCATCTTTGTATTTAACAACTACAGTCAGTTCTCATTATTCACAGTAAATATTGCTACAAACTGAATGTATGTGTCCCCCCCAAATTTAGATGTTGAAACTGAATTCCCCAATGGGCTGGTATTTGGAGACAGAGCTTTGGGAGGTGCTTAGGTAATGAGAATAGAGACTTCATGGATGGGATTAGTGCCCTTAAAAAAATACCCCAGAGAGTACCCCTGCCTCTTCCCCAGGCAGGACACAGCAAGAAGATGGCTGTCTCTGAACTAAGAAGTGAACCCTCATCACCCTCTGCTGGTGCCTTAACCTTAGACTTCCCAGTCTCCAGAACTGTGAAAAATAAATGTTTGTTGTATAAGCCACTAGTCTATGGTATTTTTATCATAGCAGCACAAATGGACTGAGGCAGTATGTTCTACAAAGTCACTGTGAACACTGAATAGTGAATACTGAACCATTACTACTAGAGGAAATACAGGATTGGTTCCTGCAAGCCTCTGGTCGTATTATCATAATATAGCCTTGTTTTATGTGTTTCTGTTTAAAGACACCTTGTTTAATATATAATGTTGACTCATTAACACTGAATTCACAGCCAATAGCATTGCAACTTATGTCGGAATGAAATTAAACTCCATACGACACATCACAGCCTTCAGTGCTTAGGAACACTAGTCAACACTTCAGTATGATACTTAAAGGCCATTCATTGCAAATAGCAAAATAACCCATACAAACCACAAAAATGAAAAACATGGCACTAAACAGACTGCGAAAAGGACACTGGTCCTCAGCAGGAGCTGAAAGAAGAAAGCAGAGCCTCACCTTATTCCACCTGAGCAGAAAATGAGTTGTCAGGCAACTCATGCTTTTGCTCTGCACTTGTCTGAGAGCAACCACAAAAGTGCCACAAATGTTGATTTGGGTTACAAACAAGTTTTTATGAGTGGGCAAATTCAAGTGGGGAATCCACATATAATAAGGATTGACCTTCTTAGGATCATGTAAGTCAGGAACACACAGTAACCTTTGCAAAATACGTGCCCTGTACCTGTATTCTGAGCAACAAGTGGCGGTTCGCATGCTCCAGTTTTTTCTGACGGTTTTCAAGCTCTTTGGCACGCTGCTGTTCTCGTTGCAGCTTTCGGATATAGTCCACAGATGCTTTTAAAATGGTTCCCTTGTTCCAGCGCATGTCTCTGTGATGAAAATATAAAGAAACACACTTCTCTATGTTTTCAGGCATATTCAGAGCATTTAGCTTCTAAAGATGTGATAACAATTGCAAGTTGATAACAGCTATCATTAATTTAGTGCTTGCCACATGCTGAACAGTGTCCACCACCTTGTATACACTATCTCACTTAACTCAGATAAGGACCTGGAAAGGGAGGTAGGTTCTGTATGAGTAGAAATGGAGACTATTTTTGGCTCACCCAGGTCACAGAGCTACAATAAGGTGGAGTCAGGACCTAAGTTTAGTTCTGCTGATTACGAAATCAATTTTCATAACATTATATTAACTAGTTATAGCTTTCTAGGACTATAAAATTAACTCAGGCAGACAGAAAAAGCTTTGATGAAAAAAATTCCATGATCTCTCACTACTTGACTATATGAGGCACAAAAGTGTCATCCTTAAATTCTAGTATGAATTTTCATGGGAAAGTTATCTAATTTCTGTCTTTATTTTCTCGTCTATAAAATGGTATATTATACTTATAAAAGCAGCCTCGTACATGTTATTGGAATCAAAGGAGGCACTTTATATAAATATGCTGTGAAAAGTTTAGAATGCAGTTCAAATAATGGAGCAAACAATGTGTTAAGGGCTGAATGTAATTACTATAATGGCTATCTTTAAATAGCATTTACTATGTGCCAAGTACTTTTTAAAGAATTTCACATCTCACTTAATCATCACAACCTCAGTGGGTAGGTACTAATATTATCCCCATTTGACAGATTGGGAAACTCAAGCACAGAAAGGTTAACTAATTAGCCCAAGGTCACATAACTTGGAAGTGGTAGAACCAGGAAGCTTAGGTTTTCTGGCTTCAGACTCCATGCTCTAAACCACTCTTCTTTCTCTTGTGTGACTGAGTCCTCAAAACAATAAAACTAGGTAGGAGTATTCTGGTTGCCCCCTTTTTTAATAGATGAGAAAAATGAAGTACAAGAGCTCAAGTATCTCTCCCAAATCTAGGCAGGCATTGCTTTGGAATTCAAACTCAGGCAGCCCGAGGTCAGTGCCTCTCAGGCTTTAACTACTATAACTCTAATGTACTCATATATATGAGAAAGTTAAAAATGCCATTAAAATGCAGGTAAAAGTGAGATGAAAAATTTAGAGCACCGCAAAAATAATTAAAAATGAAATTATAATTACATAAATGATATTTATATAGCACTTTAAATTAATCTGAGCCTTTTTATAGACAATATTTATGATGATAATGACAATGATAATGATATAAACAAAAGCAACTCAATGTATGAAAAACCTCCTAAATCATAATCTATAGCTGCTCAAAGCAGATTGGAAGTATTGGATGGGCCATGTGAAAGGAGGACCATTAATACAAGTCACCAAGTAATTGATCCTCATATAGGTTAGATGAAGAACAGAACAGAAGTTCTCCCATGAGAGGTAGAGTTACAGCCCTCTGAGAATTCCAGGGATTGGATTCCTGGGATCTGAACACCGAAGATGGCAACCCAGGAGGTATCCTGAGGTTGAGATAACTTGCTTAACGTTCAGGGCTAATTCAAAGAAACAGAAACTTTAGCAGCCAGAGAGAAACATAACTATAATGAAGAATGCCTTCATGAAGCCCATGAGGTAAAAATCCAGTTACATAGCTACACAGTTTTTAGGAAGTGATTATTTAAACAAATTACCTTGGGGTTTGCTTCCTTGTGAGACCCATCCAATTATTGTTCTGGGCTTAAAAGAAGGGTTTTTAAACTTTTTGTTGTTGTAATGAAAAAGACCCTATTTTGCACAGATGTGCACACAAATCTCTAATATACAAATCAACAAAAGGATATCTACACTAGGGAAGCAGAAAATATGGGGCTGAGACACTGATCAGCTAGACTGTGCCTCCATAGCTGCCTCAAAGTCTACTCTAAAAACCTGGTATGGGAAAAATCCCCATAACAGATTATAGTCTATTATGTCTTAAAACAACGCTTACAGTTAAAAGATCATTATCAGTTCAGATTATGAACATATGTAATTGAATACAATGGGGAAAGAAGATATGCAAATGGACGCTTTCACTCCAGCCCCATAATTTCTTGTGTTGCTAAAGAGATTCACATTCTATAGTTTAAAAGAATATGTTAAAAAGTGAAAGCTGATAAAGAACAGGAAAATAGGAATTCAATTTCAACTATCATGCAAGACTGACTGTAGAAAATGAAGGTCACAGCCCCTTAGTAGGATAAATTTGTGCTGCAGAACTGAGAGTGTGACTGTTTGAGTTTCAAACTGCTTTCCTTGAAAAACCTGGAAAGTACAATGTCGATGATGGAAATTGTGCTTGAACATTCATCAGAAGCACCTTACAATAGGCAATAGTTTATATTTTATTTTGTCACAAATTCCCTGACAATAATATGAATAGCAAATTTAATAAGCTTTGCATGAATAATGCTTGATTTCACCTTTACATTTTATTAGGCAGCTAAAAGGTCATATTCACAGGCTAATTTCACTGAATGCCTATGCATGCCATTCAAGTGTGTACATCTTCTAGCCCCTTACTTCAAATGAGCCAATTTCTAGTGGACAAAAATTGTACATTTGTTGTCCTATTTGCTGATGATGCTAGCAGAAAAATTATCTTTACAACTGTTATTTATGTCTGAAAGTATAAAGGGAAGGGAAGAGAGACTGAAAGCTGAAATTCCAATTAGGTGACTTATACTTGGAAAAGAATTAAAAATTACTTTTTTTCTAGAAGGGTAACACATACAAAGAGCATGCAAGTTTTAAAAAAACAATTGAGCAAAACTGTTAAACCTGAAGTCTCCAATATCAGCTCTCAGTGCCTATAGATATTGTTCAAGTTGAAAACCAGGCAACAAATTCTTGCTTCAGCAGCTACTGAAATCACTGTCCTACATAAACTGTTAAAAATCATTTTGTTTAGCATCTTGTTTATTTGCCAAGGATTCTCTAATTTCAAAAAGCCATTTCCTCATACCCAAAGCTGCATCTCATGTCCAAACATCCCTTCGTACAATTCGGTGTCCTTATCTCAGAATCTTAGTTTGATGAGACTAATCAAAAGCAATGTTAGTTAAGGAGTACTCAGGATGAAAGCAAAAAGAAGGGGGACTTCTTCACACTGGTTTTTATAACGATGTACTTTTTACAACATATGATAAAACATTAAGGTACAAAAATTTTACGATGCAGATTAACATGCAGTTGTACTCACGGATCATTGGACTTGGGAATCAAAGTACCTAGTTCCTTAATGCGGTCATTTATGTTAAATCTTCTTCTTCGTTCAACTTTAAAAAAAGCACAAAAAGAACTATTAGTAACTGTCACATTCGCATTAACACATCTCATTAAAGCATGCATGTGTAAACTTCACTGCTCAGGACCATGAAAACCTGAACCTATATTTCCATTTTTACCGTGGTTTTGGTAATGAGGTTAAACTCCTTTTTAAAATGAGCTACCTTTAACCTTTAACAAAGCCCTGAGATACACATTTCTCATCTCATTTAATCCTATAACAACCCTGAAATTGGAGTTACTATCCTCAGTTACAAAACACAAAACCACCAAGGAAACATTAGGGACCTGACTAGGATACCCAGCAATAAGTGGGGAAAGACCAGAACTAAACCTGGACCCTGCAGACCAGGGTGGCGAACTCTCTGCAAAGGGCCTCCCAAGTGAGTACTTCTGGCTCTGCTGGCTAAACGGCAACAGTGGAGGCTATTAGGTAGGTCCTTACATAACAAGAGAGAAAACAGATTTCTACAAGATTGAAATGGGATAATACTGACAAGGTACAATTCTTCAAAAACAAAGTCTACAAATGAGAAGCACTGGGTGCCAAAATTTGGACTTTATATAATTTTCACATATCCCAAAATATTATTATTGTTTTGATTTTTTTAACTTTAAAATGTAAAAAAATTCTTAGCCCATAGGCCACACAGAAAGTCCAGTTTCAGCCCAGTGCTACCCAACAGAAACATAATGCAAGTTACAAATGTCGTTTTAAATGTCCTAGTAGCCGTATTATGAAAACAAAAAGAGGTGAAATTAACTTTAATATTTTATTAAACCCAATATACCCAAAATATTATCATCTTAACATGTAATCAATATAAAAGTTTACAAACTTGGTATTTACATTCTCTTCTTTGTACTAAGTTTTGGAAAACCAGTGTATATTTTACAGGGACAGCACATCACAGCCTCACCCAGCCACCTTCCAAGTGCTTGGTGGGCAGACCTGACCAGTGGCTATGGTCCGGACGACCCACCCCAAAGTCATGCCAGAATCTTTAACTATATCATACATCCTAACAGCATTCCAATAATATAAACTAGCTGTCTGTTCAACTAAATTATCACCTTCTTAGGGGAATGTGAAGTAGCAAAGCATATGAGTTAATCAATGTTTCTAATTTAATGATAGTCTGCCAAATAAACTGTAAATAACTTAAGGTCTAATAAACTGAATTAAAGATGTTAACATTTTACTTTAAACATACTATAACCTAGCACATATTTATTATTAGATTATTCTGTATAACAATACATAATTATATTTGACCCACTTAAATGAAAAATATCACTCACTACTTTCATAATTATGAGGGGGAACCCCCCAAAATCCACAATTTACTTATTCTTACATGTTTAAACTTAATTCACCTTCCAAATACTCTCTATTTGATGCAGTATGTCTTATACCAAGGCTTTTTTCCTCTGCTGAAAAGTTTTTAAACCCATCAATTTTGATGCCTTTTAGTGCTTCTGCCATTTTTTGTTTCACTTCTTCCACATTGGCAAAATATTACCCTTTAAAATTTTTTTCATTCAAGGAAATTAAAAAATGTTGCTTGGGGAGAGATTGGGTGAATGGGTTGGGTGGGACATGGGGGTCATGCCATTTTTGGTCAAAAACTGCTGACCACTCACTCAGTGCAGTGTGGACAGGTGTGATTGTAAATCATCCATCGAGAAATGGGCAAATGCGCTCAAAGACTCTTAAAAAATTTCACTGAAGCCCAACACAGCCTCTCACAACAATGCCAGCTGGTGCACTGACTGATACAGATGGGTTCCTAGAACACTCACCTAACAGGGGAAGCCTGTACTACAAGGGGTCCTCCCTTCCATGTTTGTTTGGGTCTCTCCTTGTATATGTTGTCTTTTTAAGTTGAGTGATTATTCTATCATTAAATCAATTACATATATATATATATATATATATATATATATATTACTACCATCTAATCATTAGGATTTTATAAAAATAGAAATAACAAGTGATATGCAATGGTTCTGAAGAAGAAAATTTTGCACCTCTGATCTTCTAGCCTCTTCTAACCTCTTCTCACAATATTTTCTTACTTTTTCACAGCATATAGTAATCATAAAAATTCAAACAATACTGAAATACACAAAGTGAAATACAAGTCTCCTATGATCCTGACAAAACTACTGTTAAGTACCTTACATATTTGTGGTAATCTGTGATAATTGTTTTTACACTCTAAAAATAATCACACACATGGCACCCAAGCCAGTTTTTCAGCTTCTTCAAGAGCCACAATCACTTCCTGGTGTCTCATTTCATCTCATGGTTTTGAATACCACTCATGTGCTGATGACTCCCACAGTTACATATCTAGTCCAGGCACCTTTCTGGAACCCCAGACCTGTATGTCCGACTATTTGATGTTGCCATAAGGAGATCAAATAACAGCTAGACACTCCAAATTGAGCTACTGCTCTTCTCTACTCAAACAGCTCCACCCCCAGGTTCTCCGACCTTGCTTAATATAACTCTGCCCTTCCAGGTCCTTGACAGATCCTTGTAATCAATTGTGCACTTTTAGTCTTCTCACATACCACATCTAATTCATCATCAAATTCTGTTGGCTCTACCTTCAAAAATATTTCCAGAATCTGTCCACTTCAACCTCCACTGCTACTAATAGAAGCCACCATCATCTCCTGCTTGGATTACCGAAATCCTATTAACTGGTGTGTGTCTTCAACCCATGCCCATACTTCCCATCTCACCTAGGCAAAAGCCAAATCCTGAAGGCATGCAGTAAGCACCTGGCAGCCTCTCATCCTTCGTACCTCATTTTCTACTCCTCCCCCACTCTGACCATATCTTTTATCATGACTTATCTGTGTTCCCCTCCTCAGAGCATGAACTTATTGTTATTCCACAACCACTTGATAGTGGACTTCATACTGCTGTTATCCCTGCCTCAAACATTCTTCCCCAAATATCTGAATGGTTCTGGCCTCACCTCACTGAGGTAGTGACTCAAACTGCCCTATTAGCCTTCCTTAACCGCCCTATTTAAAACTCAACCACCACTTCTCATGCCCATCCTGATACTCTATGCCCCTGGCTGCACTTTGTCTCCTCACCTAATATCCACATAATTCATTCATTGATTTATTTATATAACTTTCTACCAACTAATGTATGTTTTTCTATATGTATGTTCACTGATGCATTCTAAGCTTCCATATGAACCTGGCATGTAGGAGGTCCCATAACTATGTTTTAAATGGTGATACAATTATAGTACAAAAATGGTAACTATGATTCTGCATCTATCTTTTCTCACTTGATAGCCTATTGTTGACATCTCTCACTGTCAATATTATCACATTTTATTTTCAATTCAGTACCTTCTCATCTCAATTATTTTTCATTATAAAAGTGATACAAGCTCATAAAAAGTTACAAAACATAGAAAAGTGTATAAAGGAAGAAGTAAAAGCCACTGTTTTACACCATGGAACACCTATATTCCTGAAGTCATTGTCAATAATAAAGATTACTCCAAGATCCTCTCCCACTAACATGCACCCATAAATACACATGCATACACACATGCAAGTACATCCCTATACAGTGTGTACCTTGTGCATAGTGGGATACAATACACATCATTCTGACTGTTACTCAGTAATATTTTGTAGACATTGTCTGAGTTAAGTAGACAGATGGACACCATTCTTCTTAAGAGGTACTTGAGCAGCCCTTATTTGGATGCACCATAATTTATTTAAAAGTCTTCACTGATAAATATTTTCACTGTTTCCAAGTTCTCCCTCTTTTTTCAATGGTATAGGAAATACTTTTGCCAGGGCTTCCATGTACATTTTATTCCTATCATAACACTTATCCTACGTTGAAAACACCACCTTAATGTATTGGTTTGCTCCTATTTCCCGTCTGTCCCTGACTTGACTGCAGACTTGTAGGGGTGGAAACCTGTCTGGTTCATGCCTGACAGAAGCGCCTTACACGTAACAGGGCTCAATGAGCACAGGGAAGAAATAGATGTGTTCTTCTGCACATTTTGGCAAGTACTGTTACAACAGGAATTCCTAGAAGAGGAAGAGGTCTGCCAATGGGCAATCTAGCATCGAGTATTAATTTCTAATGGTTAGATGAGATTTTAGGATTGTTTTGTAGCTCTCAGAATTTAAGCTAACCATGTTTGCACTTTATTGGGAACCAGAAACTTGAGAGATTAGATGCCTAGGTAAAGGTGAATATTGTTTCTAACAAGTTTTGGATAATGCCTAATTATCTTATTTATAAAAGAACTTTAAGAGGAGAAATACTTAAAAAGAAGATTACTTGGAAGCTAGAAGAGACCTTAGAAATATTACTCTAAATCTTGTGGTTAGGAGATGAGGAAAGCTGCTCAGAACTGGCCTGGGAACTGAGAAGGGCAGTATCCATTAGAAACAACTTGCCCCTGGGACCCAGCAATTCCATTCTCAGCCACTAACCTGGGAAACTAACTCCCCTGATTGTGAACCCGAGGGTCCCTATGACTTTGATTAAATTTAGCTTTAAATCATAGCTCTAGAAATCATCTCTCTGTGTGTCTTAACTCCCCAAAGACCTAGCCTTTCCCCCAGGTAGTCAGCAATCCCCCAGGCAGAAGACAGGAGCCCAGACCTGACTAATGGTCACAGGGTCTAGACCTCTGGCCTGATAAAGATAACATCTTGACCTGGATTATGTTTTGGTTCCTGAGCCCTAAGGTGGAATGACTCCCTGGTTACTTTACCATGAGACTGGAAGGAGCGATGCCAGAACAGACCTTAGAGTTGTTAAGATCTGAAGAAATGATTCATTACCTGCACCTCACCTCTGAGTAGTCAGCCCCCAACACAACCCTGAACCACTAACCCACCAGGGAGCTCAGGCTTTGCAGCATTAGCTTCCCTTTCTCCTGGGTGGCACCATTTATAATAAAATAGCCAGTCTTCCTCCACTGCAGTTCTCAGTACTTAGGATTGGCTCTGCTAGTGCTGGGTGGACAGACTCTTTTCTGTTTTGTGACAAACACAAATGTTCATGGTGGCTTGTTTACAAGAGGGAAAACTGGAAACAACACTTAGCAGTAGATAGTCGCGGTGTGGAACACGTAAGCGACAATTTTTAAAAAGTACATAGAACTAGATATTGACTGTAAAAGGTCTTCAGAATATGCTGTTCAGTAACAAAGCAAACAGCAACTAATATGGGCAATATAATATTATTTGCATTAAATCGTACACAAGATAATGCTTTTTATTCTGTGTGTCTTAACTACATACAAAATGATTGGGAACACAAACAGCAAACTGAAAAAGAAAAAAAATTATTCCAATGATCAGAGAAGAATTCTGGCCTCATTTTATCATTTTTTATAAGGACAAAGTATTTATATGTAACTTATATTCTTAAAAATCAATTTAGGAAAAGGAGGACAGGAGGCCATGAGTTGAAAAACTGATGTACATGCAACTGTTTCCTCCCTCTAAGCCTAATCCCTTTTGTTTTTAACCATCCAGTTTCTTTTGCTTGTTTATAAGACAGAAATCTTAACTTTTGATAGGAATGGCTTAAATATTTGATCAAGAGTAAATTGTAAACATAAAAAATTTTTAAATGTTACATTTTTTTTAAGTCACAGGTAAAGTCAGAAATTTGGAAGGCTGCCTCCCCCATTGACTAGCCCCTAGATGTTTCATTTTTTTTCCTTTCAGGTCTCACTGGAGATGGTGATCCATAATTCTGTTTTGTTAGGTTGCAGTGTGATTAACGCTTATATAACTGGGTAGTTGGGGATCAAGTCTCACATTCACACATTCACATGCAAATGCAAACCAATTCTAAAAACAAATGAAATTGTCTTCAGGATACTGAAAAAAACAATCAATTTGGTCTGAGATAAAACATGGGGAAAATATACACCGTGGTTTCTCTGAAAAAAAACTATTTTCTTCCACATAATGTAACTTTAATGACAAGTCAATATCCTTCTAAAATGTCTGGAAATTTCTGATATATGGGAGAATATCAACTGCAATATCAAATATCATAAACATAAAACAAACTTACTCAAGTTGTGATTGTCCTTTTTTTGTCTCTCTTTAGCCAATGCTCTTGCTTCAGACTCTGTGGGAAAAATACACGCTGTGCACGTGAATGAAGTAATTAGAAATTGGAACTATTTGAGGCACAGAATAATATGAACTACAAATATTTTATTTTCTAAATGTCTAAATGCAAACGCACTTATCTGACTTGACTCTAAATAGTACTAAAGTCTTCAAAATTATGACTTTCTAAAACTTGCATATTTCAATAACAATATATACCAAAATAAATGCACACACTTATAGAAAATGGTAAAAACCAATAAGTATGTCCGACACACTATAATCATACAGGTACAAACACAAAAAAATAAATAAGTAACTAGAAAACTAATATTCTATTACCATAAGGCAAATTTCTTTTCAGAAAATAGACCTCTTAAGTCTTTGATACCTCGGTAACACACCAACACAAAAACTTACAGTTGGTGAAGTGTTGGGAACTGCTCTGCCTGGTTTCAGGAGTTGTAATTGCCCCCCATGGATAAGGCTGAGTGAGTGACCTCCAGACTGTGAGCCACTAAGGAGACAAAGCTTATCTCTGGCAGCAGTGCTGCTTCTGCTTCATTCCCTGCCCCCAACACTTGGTCGGTTAGTCAGTGATGGGTACAACCCCTCAGAAGGGGGGTGACCTAAGCCAGACACAATCACTTGGGAGGCCATCAAGGAAGGACTCGGGGGGCTGCAGCAAAGAGGAAGTGATGGATCATTAAACCCCCAGCTATTCTGACATAGCCCGAGTCCCCATTTCCATCTGGGAGAAGCACTTCCTGGCTCTAATCAACTTAAGCCTAAAAACCTATGACTGGGAAGGCAGTGCAGCTCCTTGCCAGCTAGAGTGGGTTTGAGGGTGATCAGGCATAAGAATTCCTAAAGTCCTGTGAAGCCTTCTTTTCTAAGAGTGCTTTCATTCATATGATAAGGGTCCAAGCTGGAAACGAGTATGTCTCCCAAAGTTTTTGCAACCCCCTTACCTGACAGACACTGACTCAGATTAAGCCCTCAGATTTCTTTGAAATGTTATCTATTGTTTGATCCTTGCCACCTGACATTGCATGATGAGCTTTACCTGTATTCCTGTATATTACAACCTAATAAAACCTATTGAAGAAGAGGTTCTTGGTCCTTTTCCTCTAAGAGACTGACCACCTCTCCTCCCCAAGCAGATAATGTCTTGGTAGTTTCACTTTCATCTGTGTGGATGGGAGGACTTGCTGGCAAAGTTGCCCCCACAGTGAAGCACATATATGTATATATTTTGTTAGATGTATATTATTGCATATACTTATACATGCACAATTGAGAAGCTGAATTATTTCAATTGGGAATGTTAATCCATATCACTTTCTATTTTTGTTTTTACATAGAAGCATGACAGGCAGCTTTTATGTATACACCCTCTACTTTAGTATTTTTATTTTGTTTCCTTTTTGTTGTTGTTGTTTGTTTTCAGCTTACCAGCCCCACCCCATGTTTCTCTGCCTGTCAACCTCAACTCACCAACTGTGGACCAGCTTTGGTCAAGGCCACCTAGTGAACCTCTGCCATCTAGCAGACTGTAACCTCATCCCCTCACTGAGGCTGGCCTCTTGGCCCTGGAGATGAGGGTACTCTCCCAAGCTTGGGAACTCTTTAGTATTCATCCCCTTTCAGTAGCTCATTGCCTGTACATGGTTAATGAATTGTTATTTTAAACCTTTCCCTCTCTGTTCAGATCACTGTATGGTTTTTTCTTCTTCTCTTAAAAATATTTTATTTATATACTTTTTTAGAGAGAGAGGAAGGGAAGGAGAAAGAGAGGGAGAGAAACATCAAAGTGTGGTTGCCTCTCATGTGCTCCCTACTGGGGACCTGGCCAGAAACCCAGGCATGTGCCCTGACTGGGAATCAAACTGGTGACCCTTTGGTTCACAGGCCAGCACTCAATCCACTGAGCCACACCAGCCAGGGCTGTATGGTTTATTCATGCCTGGACCCTAATACAGGTGGGAAAACTGGACTTAATGAAGACATTCCCTCCAGCCCCTCTTAGGCCAGATCTACTGACTCCTATGCCTGTTCTCTTTTGGCTGTATCATGGTGCCAATTGAGCTCTCAGTGATCAGCACCCCAATTCCTGTCCATTTGCTCCTTTTCTTGGCATTTTGCCCTTGTCTTCTTCGGATGAGTCATTTTCTAAGATATCAGTGACCCTAGAGGTATACTGTCCATTACATCTACTTTTCAAGAAGTTTAATAAGTTGATACCCCTTTCACCCATTTCCCCCACTTCTCACCCCCATCTGTTGTTTTGTTTTTGAAGATATAATTATATACATAATTCAAAACTCCACTTTGAACTCAAGTAGTAAGAATTTTAATCATGTCCCTTTAACCATATTTTATCATTATTCATTATATATCTCATTCAGCAACAGTTTCTAAAATGTCATGGTCCTTTTATTTCCTGGTAGGGTACCTACCTGTTTGTTGGCTGTTACAGGTTTTTAATGTATTAATTAATTAGTCATCTTTTTTGACCCAAATCAATGGTTCTTTTAGAATGTCTTTCTCCTACCACAATTTTCTGAAGTATTTTTTTAAAAAAGACACCCTTGAACACGACAGGAATTTTTTTTTCACCAAATCTATTTTATATTCCACATTCTCAGTCTGTTCACCCAAACCTGCAGGATGCAAGGACAAACTTTTAAAAAGAGGGAATGAGGTGAGGACTGTAAAATTCAGCATGCTAGAATGCCAGTTCTAATACAGTTTCATCATGTTTGAATGGCCAATGTTGTCCCTAAAGTGTTAAAATAGCAAAACAGGTAATTTCACACTTGCCTCAAGAACAAACAATACCTATTGTGTCATTTTATAATTTGCTTTTACTCTTTACAATAAATCTTTTGCAATTGATATAGAAAAATAATAGAAGGCATCTGAAGATATAAGAAACATATTATTTCTTTTTAAGTATATTTTATTGATTATACTATTACAGTTGTTCCAATTTTTTTTCTGCCCTTTATCACCATCCTCCCTGCACTGCCACCCCAAAACTTTCAACATTTCCTCCCCCACTTAGTTCATGTCCATGGGTCATACATATAAGCTCTTTGGCTTCCATATTTCCTATACTATTCTTAACCTTCCCCTGTCTATTTTGTACCTACCCTTTATGCTTCTTATTCCCTGTACCTTTCCCCCCCATTCTCCCCTCTCCTTCTCCTTGCTGATAACCCTCCACGTGATCTCCACTTCTGTGAATCTGTTCCTGTTTTAGTTGTTTGCTTAGTTTCATTTTTTTAGGTTCAATTGATGATAGTTGTGAGTTTGCTGTTATTTTACTCTTCAAATTTTTGAATACCTTCTTTTTGTTAGATAAATCCCTTTAACATTTCATATAATAAGGGCTGGGTGATGATGGACTCCTTTAACTTGACCTTATCTGAGAAGCACTTTATATGCCCTTCCATTCTAAATGACAGCTTTGCTGGATAGAGTAACCTTGGATGCAGTTCCTTGCCTTTCATGTCTTTGAATACTTCTTTCCAGACCCTTCTTGCCTGCAACATTTCTTTTGATAAGGCAGCTGATAGTCTTATGGGAACTCCTTCATAGGTAACTGTCTCCTTTCCTCTTGCTGCTTTTAAAATTCTCTCCTTATCTTTAATCTTGGCTAATGTAATTATGATGTGCCTGGGTGTGTGCCTTGTTGGGTCCAATTTCTTTGGGACTCTTCTGGGCTTCCTGGACTTCCTAGAAGTCTATTTTCTTTGCCAGATTAGGGAAATTCTTCTTCATTATGTTTTCAAATAAGTTTTCAGTTTCTTGCTCTTCCTCTTCTCCTTCATTCACCCCCATGATTCAGATGTTGGAACACTGAAAGTTGCCCCATAGGTTCCTAAGGATCTCTTCTTTTTTTTTTTTTCATTCTTGTTTCTTCATTCTATTCCAGTTAGATGCTTACTCCTTTGTTTTGTCCCAAATCATTAATTTGAGTCCCAGTTTCCTCCTGGTCACTGTTGGTTCCCTGTATATTTTCCCCATTTCAGTTTGGGTAGCCTTCATTTCTTCCTTCATTTTGCGACCATGTTCTACCAATCCTGTGAGCATCCTGATTATCCCGGTGCCTGCCTTGGCCCCTCCTCCCGGCGTGGATGTATGTTTCTTTAACTCCTTGGTTGTTGGACTTCCATGCAAATGATTTTCTGGCAGTTCCAACTGTTCTTTGCTTTTGAATTGGTTGTTATCCTTCTTTTGGTTGTACAAGGAAGTGAAGTGTTTCTGCCTATGCCTCCCTCTTGGCCGGAACTCTTGCAAGAAATATATTCTTACTCTATCCCAACTGCAGGCTTGAATGTCTTTCATAGGAAAATTCAGACCACGATTTTCAAATGCAAATGCCTCCAGGGACTTGGTGATTAACAACACCAGCCTGAATAGAAACATTTTATAACTGAAAGTGCTGTGTGCTGCCCCCACCTCAAAAATCAACAGTCATAAGTCACCATGATGGTTGTCACAGAGTAAGGGTGCCATGGAGTAAAGGAGGGACTAATTCCCAGTGTCTCAAAAATATACTAGAGACCAGGACTTTCAAATGTAAACTCTTTATCACAAAATATGGCTCAATGTTTTAACCACTGCATTGATTTTAAAAAGTATGTTTGTGAGTTGAAAACAGTCTGGAGGTCACTATTTTGATAACTTTACTGATCAGAAAATTAACAGGAAATCTGCAGTACGTGGCACACTTGCTGGGTATTTACCTGTGAGTTCCCTTTTTATGTTGGGAAGGTTGGCTGGACAGGAGTTGCTGATGGTCAGGCCTGGGGGTGGCAGTCCTTGATTGCTATAGAGGTCAATCAAGTTTCCAGACACAGGTAACTGGAAAGGGAAAAACAATAACAAAAATGAGTTGTTGAATAATTTATAAGTTATTCAGCTAAAACCCAGATCCTATACCAGACTTTATTGAAAAGAAATGGTTTTATGTAAAAAGTCATATTTTAAAATCAGAAAACATGAGATTTTTACTTTTTCACTCACTCATAGACATATGGTTCCCTTAGCTAGTTCCCCTTGCAAGAAGAAAAGGATGCAGAATCTCACACCCACAAATGGTTATAAGACCAAGTTGCAGGTTACTCTGAGCATGAGATAATGGGTAACTTGGCAGATTCACTGTCTAGTTTGTTGAATAGCACAGAACAGGTATCCAATGAATGTAGACTATTACTGTGAAATAGGGTTCTATATGGCATGCCTTTTATATCCAATTGGGGTTTTTTGTCAAAGTCAATTCCTTCCCTTTCTTCTTCTTTCTCTTATTATCTCTCTTTTATAAGAAAAAGCAATGAAAAGTGTTTTCTGCCCTGACTGGTGTGACTCAGTGGGTTGGGTAACATTCTGAAAAGCAAAGGTTGCAGGGTTGATTCCCCGTCCAGGCACATGCCTGGGTTGCAGACCAGGTCCCCAGTTAGGGGTGTGTGAGAGGCAACAGATTGATGTTTGTCTCCCTATCTTTCTCCCCTCCTTCCCCTTTCTCTAAAAACAAATAAGCAAATCTTTTTTTAAAAAACAGTGTTTTCTTATTGGAAAAGGAATGGTTTCCTTATGGCTAAAGAAAAGCTCTTTTTCTTGAAACTGAAATCTTTCACAAAGCCACAAGGGGGAGCTCACTGACTTTAAGAATAAAAATTTACACACAGGAGGAAGTATTTAGCTTTCTCAAGGTAGCTTAAAAGTAGTTTTCTCTAACTCTGAATTAAATATTTTAAAGTAGTGAAATTATTTTTCCCATCATTGACTTCCTTTTCCATATCCGCATTTATTTCCCTGAAACTAGTTCATGGTAGGAGTTTGATGGGCCCATTTTTTTAGACACAAAAGGTCCAAGACATTTCTTTTCCCATTCTCTGAAATAAAATTCTAAGTATAATACTAACTATGGAAACATAGTTAAGTGACCTCACTGTTTCTGCCACAGAAATTTTCCATTTTTAGCTAAATTCAATTCCTATAACTAATATTACCTGGTAAGACTTTATATTGTCAACCCTAGCCTTCCTTGATTACACATCCTGAATTGTACATTTGGATAACATTTAAATGTGGCAAAATGTTTATAAGAGGTATTGAGTAAGATTGTATTGCATATTATACTTTTCACTCTCTTAAATAGCCACTAACATACAGATGACATACAAAATAAAGGTAGAATCAAATGTGTTTTTCCTCATTGGTAGCTATCAGCCATCTATTTCTTTCATGGCTACTAAATATGAACTCAACTCTTAGCTACAGAGATGGGGGAAGGCTCTACAAGAATAGGATTCTTTCTGACAAGTTAATATGACACTAGCTCTGATATGCCTGGGTTGGGGGCAGGGGCACAGATCCATCAGCAGAACGCAGCTCTCTGTTTTCCACTAGTCTTTGCTCCTTTTTGAGGGCAAGATTAAAATTATTTAAAATGTATATAAAATGCAATACATGTATCCCACCTCTACACAGATGAATATAAACACTGCACTGTGATCATTTAAAATGCTTGGGACCACATTTCAAGGCTCTCTCCCTAAGAAACTGATAAAAAGTGACTTTGATTATTAGCTGTCAACCTTGTGTGTGTTCAGTTTTATTCTTGTCCAGCCTAACATGCAGAGTGAAAGGTGAACAAATGCTTCAAATACAGCATTGTAAAGAGTAGAGTCAAAATTTAAAAGCTGCTATAAAATTTCATAATGCTCCTAGATCCCAAAAATTTATCCTTGTATATTTTTGAAGTTTCAGATTTGGGGAGAACTATTGGAAATTAATAAAGCAAGACAGTGACTTCAAAGTTCAATATAATATAACAAGCTAAAAAATTATTCCCATTGTTCTAGAAATATAAATCATATGTTTTCTTTTTTAAAGGCTTTTTAATGTTTTTTTAAGATTATTTATTTATTTATTTTTCAAGAGAGGGGAAGTGAATGAGAAAGAGAGGGTGAGAAACATCAATGTGTGGTTGCCGCTTACATGCCCCACACTGGGGGATCTGGCCCGCAACCCAGGCATGTGTTCTGACTGGGAATTGAATCGGCAACCCTTTGGTGTGCAGGCCTGTGCTCAATCCACTGAACCTCAGCACCCAGGGCTCTTCTTTTCAAATGTAAATTGTTAACAAACATGCAAATGTGTGATAATGATTTGTTAGGGAAAAATAATAGGCAAGTAACTTGTATAGCTACCTTTAAAAAATTATCTGTCATCAATGGATCTACATTGAAGAGACATCTAATTATAAGCATCTGCAAGGCAAGAATATATGTATTTTCTAACTAGAACCTAAAGGAAAGTGATATATATATATATATATATATACAAATAATACATGCAGAATCACAGAAAGAGAGAGAGATAGAGAGTGAAAGATTCAAAAACTGGAAATAAGAAAGAGACAGCAGACACAAGGGGTGGGGTAAAAAAAGGAAGAGAGTGACACACATAGGCAGAAGGGACAAGATATGGAAAGAGAAATAGACAGACAAGTGGGAAGGTGGAGACAGAGCCATATTTGGAGAGATCCAGTGAGAACTGGACCAGGAGGCTGAGACAGCAAGAACTGATAGTGCCCACCTAGAGGGACCTCAAATCTCTATAGCAAGATGCCTCATCTTACTCACCGAGGTCAGACATCACTACTTGCAGTAGAAGAATCAGCTTATAACCCTTTATCTGTTCTCTAAGAAGTGTCCCACTTCAGCTGCTTTTCCAATATTTGCAATTAGGAGTTGGCAGCATAGAGCCCACCACAATATTTTGCTGGGGATAAATGAATTTTGTGGAGGCTGCTCTAGGCCAGGCACAGCTAACTGGACAGGCACTTGTGCATATTATCTTACTGATTTTACAGAAAGAAAAGCCACAGCTCTAAATGCCTAAATGGAGGTTTTTGACAGGAGGTTCATGTCCCATGTTTATAACAGTATTGGTGGTGGGTGCTGGGGGAACAGTATCAACCTGATGTTAATTAGAGATTGAAATTTTCAATTAATTTCCAACTGGACCCAAGCAATTCAAAACACAGTTAGTTGCTCACTAGCCAAATTTGTATAGTCAAATTTACAAATTAATAATGCGGTACTTTTACAGCCTGGGTGTAGGAGTCACACCAGGGAAAACCTGCCCCTGTCACTGTGACCCGCTACGTGACATGAACCTCTCTGAGGTATGGTGTTCCCTTTTGACAAATGGCAGTCATATCACTCTGCTCACAGGTTTTGTAATAATTAAACGAGATAAAGTAGGTGAAACAGTGCCTCTTACTTAAGGGAACAGTAAACTGCTGTTTAGCAATATTATAATTTTCTAGAAGGTACTGTATACCTAGTGTATAGTTTAGACATTCAAGATAATTTCCATTTTAATCCACAAAGCTCCCTGCCATGTGATCTGCCAACCACTACACCAACTTTATCAGACTGCAGTGCAAATGTGAACAGGAATGGGAGCCTGCAGGGCTGAGGCACTCACTCAGGATCCTAAATCAGTGCCTCTCCAGTAGCGGTGGTTTTCCCCTCCAGGAAACTTGTGTCAATGTCTAAAGACATTTTTAGTTGTCACAACTGGGTGAAGGGGAGGGAGCTATTGACACCCAGGGTAGAGGCCAGGGGTGCTGCTAAGTACCCCACAATGGATAGGACCATCCCCACAGCAAAGAATGGTCCACCTCAAGTGTTAGTAGTGCCAAGGCCAAAAGACCCTGCCCTAAATGGTGGCTTATGCTTTTTTTTTTTAATTAGTGGCTATAATTCACTGAAGCTACTAAAAGGAAGGTTGATTAAAATAGTATGGCTTTCTAATTAAAAATTAGCAAAAGAGGGGGAAATGGGGACATCTGTATTAGAACAATAAAAAAGAAGTACATTTCAATGTTAAATGATGCTCTCTGACAGAATCTATAAAAGTAATTCTTTTCTGAGACAAATTGGTGGGAAAAATATAATTAAAAAACACATGCCTTCCACTCCTATTAGTCTCTTAGCCCTGCATATTTAAGAAAGGATTCTGTGGTTCCTCTTTTAGGTTTGAGAAATCCCCCGCTAAACACGGTGAACATGAAAATTAAGTCTTCTGTTAATACAGCTATGTTGTGTCTTTGCTGGGTTTTTATCAGACAGAAGTGAAATCTGTCCACCTTAACCTGATGGACGAACTTCCCTTCCAGCATAAAGGCTGTACAGTGGGTAGATGAAAGCCACGGTCAACTTGAGACAAAAAAAAAAAGAGAAGGCAGCCTCATGTGGGAGTGTGACCCAAACTTGGTCTGAGTTGAGTTTTTCAATATTCTAAGCCACCACAAATGATTATTTTTCCAAGTAAATGATCATTGTAAAATATTTTTTCCTTCTGGATGGCCCCCTTCTCTGACTATCAATTGGGTACTGTTAGCACAAGTAAACTGGGACTTTATTCTTTGTTTCTGATGCTACAAGAGGGCCCTTGTGCTCTCAGAACAGTTATTTCTAGATTCCACTTCCCTTAGGATAGTTTCCTCTCTAAGCATTCCTTCTACTTTTTTTAAGATAATTTGAAACAAAGAATCAAAGAATTAAAGAAGAGGGGAAAATGTCTAACATGAAAAACATTGTTTAAACTTTACTGTGCAAAAAATTAAAATGTTGGTAAGTTGTAGTAGCTTTGTTATTTCATTTTGATGAGAAAACCCAAAGTTATCAAGAACAAGAACTTAACTAACATTTAGTAAGAGCATATCAGGGCCAGAACTGTTTTAAATACTTTTTTGTAGATTAACTTATGATTCTCACATTGATTCTACTGTTTAGATGTGAGAAAGTGAGACAGAGGTCAAATCACTTGCACAAGAGTATGTGTTGAATTCAGATCTGTGGCTCAGAGTTTCTGTTCCTCACCTCTATGATATATTGTCATACACCTAATAGCAAAATGCTGCAATAGTTTTGTTGTAAGAAGACCATATTTAGCCTTTTCCAGGGTGGGAATAAAGAAGAGAAATGAACACCGGAACAAAGTCAGTGACTTCTGAGGGTGGGAATTACTTCACCTCAGCCCAGGAGATCTTTCCTATCTGGGAACACCACTGGGATAGTCCCCCTGCTCCTAACTGACCCTTTTCCACTCAAGACCTTAAGTGTTTGCCCCCTGCAGCAGGTGAGCCCCATTTTCACAGACAGCATGCCTGACTCATCTGTATTTACAGTGCTGGTCAGGTGTAAGGCACTTAATAAATACTAAATCAATCTCAACTTTACTTCAGCAGCAATCAGACAATGTAGATGGACTGAGGAGACATATGTATTTAGTCTGAAGGAGAAAAGCAGAGGAGGTCATGACAACAGTCTTCAGAGCAGTTGTCATAGGGACAAGTTCTCCAGGAGGCAAAGTGCGGCACACGTCTAGAATTTCCAGAGTTACTGTAAGGAATATCTCAATTATTAAGTATGCTGTTATTCTAACAAACAGCTGGACACATTACGGGGCTGAATAAAATACTATTACAATTGTTTGATATTATAATAAATTACACAAATAATTAGATATTGTTGAGTACAACTTATGTTTTCCAATGCTAATTGCTATACATGTTTTATGGAATGCATGTGAGGTAGTTACAATTATCAGTCCCATTTTACAGATAGGGAAATGCAGGGTTTCAAGAAGCTAAGTAACATGAAAGGTCACACCATAAATGGCAGACTTAGAACTTGAACTCATGTCCGATTACAAATCTCCAGCTCTTAACCATTGTGCTTTACTGCTCTTAGTGAGTTCATGCATATCCTTCATTGGAGACTTTTAAGAAGCTGGATGTCCGATTTTCTTATGGGGGAAACAGAAGATATGAAAAAGAAATTTAATGCAAAGAGTACTAGGTTAGCTCAGATGACCCTTGGAGAAAAACAAAAACAATGATTTTTAAAAATCATATCAATTCTACAGTCCTCCTGAATGTGCTCAGGTATCCACTAGGCACCACTGGCAGACCAAACACCCTCTCCAGCAAAGTTCTTTTGGGCTGACTAGGCCATGGTTAATTAATGCTGCTGGGCATTGAAAACCTTGTAAATATACCTACATCTTTGGGTATGTTTATAAATTCCCCAGGGCAAGCTCCCCCAGGTGTTTTGTTCATGTTCACCTAGGATCTTGACCACCAAGAAGTGTTGTCTGCCTCACAGGTGGCACAAAGTTGGAAATGGAAGGGTTTCACAGAAGCCAAGCAAGGGCTCAAAGAGGGTGGGGAGAGTTTGGCATGAAAACATTTATCAGAATGGCAAAGCATTTAGTTCTTTCAAAATCAAGGGATAAATTTAAATGGGTAGGAAGTTGACAAAAACTAAAAACCGTACAAAAGGGTTGAGGTTTCAAGGGGTGTCCTCATCCCTACAGACTTCAAGTAAGTGAACTCGGTGGGGAAAAAAAAAGAAAATGCTGACCATAAAAATTTAGCTTACTAACAATTTAGGTGTAAATTATTAAGAGTTATCATGTTCCCTGACCAAGAAAATTTTCGGAATTAGGTCTTTAAAATATTTTTATTGTAGTAAAAAAAACACAACATGACATATACCATCTTTACCATTTTAAGTGTATAGTTCAGTAGTGTAAAGTATATTCACATTGTTATGAAACAGATCTCCAAAACTTTTTTCATCTTGCAAATCTGAAACTCTGTACCAGGGGTATCAAACTCATTTTCACTAGGGGCCACATCAGTGTGTGGTTGCCTTCAAAGGGCTGAAGGTAATTTCAACTCCTTAACAGTTAAGGAGTAGTTACATTTATACAGTCCTAAAATTATTTCAGCCCTTTTGAAGGCAACCGTGAGGCTGATGTGGCCCCCAGTGAAAATGAGTTTGACACCCTTGCTCTGTACCCATTAAACAATGACTTCCCTTCACCTCTACGGAAGTTAGTCTCTTATATACAAGTTATTAAGGAATATTGCTCTCATAGGAAACAGACAAGGATTGGCTAGTTATACAAAAACCTGCTGAGGAGCCTGACTCTGACACATATGCAATGAAATCCTGTGCAAGACTAGCTAAACTTTCCTAGTACTGAAATAGCAGCAAATAATACCATCCCAACCTGACTCACAAAACTCACAGAATTACTGCTAGGACTAAATAAAATCTCCAAATCTGCAATAAGCCTGAGAAAACAGTAACATAAGACACAAATGTAAGGAATCAAATATAATAAACTACACAGGCAAGGCTCCAAATTATAGAGAGAAGTAACATATGAGAGCAAATAGTTCCACTGTTTTATTAACTAAAACTGGAACAAATTTTGCTGTTGAGGGGTAATTAGACTATTCCTCTATCACCTGTGAATAGTAAGATACTGCTTTAAAGGCTGAATTATTTTTCCAGGTGAACTAGATTAGTGCTGTACACAGTATGGCACACAGGGTTGCCCTTGGCAGCAGTGTACTAAGCTAGTGATGAATGTAAGGGAGACTAGAAGGCCAAATGAAAGTGGACTTGGACATCAGGCAACGTGGGGCTTTGTCAACTCATGAAAAATGTTGAATTTCTGATGTCCAAGTCATTTATTTGTGATCCTGAGATAATTCTATTCTATTATTAATATACTTCTCAATGATTCACTTGCAAAGATAAACTAAAAGTTCAGGATAAGGGAGAGAACAATGAAAATAGTTTAAGATTTTCTTTTTAAAATGTCATCAATACCGTATTTGCCATTTGCAAGGCAGGATCCATCAAACTCAGGATTTCTTCATTATAACTTGATTCAAGGCTAATGATATCATCAATAACATCATCCATCTGCAAGAAAAAGGTCCATGGAAGAGGGACAGATATAAGCAAAAACTGTGCAAAGCAACCCAAGAAGAGATCCAAGGTCTTTTCTTAACCAAAGAAATAATGCTTTTTAGTTAGATTCTAAGTCTAATAAGTGTCCTCTTCTTCCTCAAATGTGAACATTATTGAAGATCATTAACACACCTAGGTGACAAGGATGACATCTACAACTGGCACTTTGTCAGTGATTAGTAGGTGCCAGGCACTTTACTCAGGCCTTTTTATCAGCTAATATTTACCTCAACAATAACCCAAACAGGGTAGGTAGCATTAATTTATCTTTTTTCCATGTGAGACACATGAGAAGCAACTACCCCAAAGCCACACATCAAAGAAGGTTGAGAGTCACAAGTTAAACTAATGCTCTCAACTACTATGGTAAACTGCCTGCCCTTAACAGGAAAGATGAATCAGGAAACCTCACCTTGAATGATAGCTGCCATTTCCTTTTTTTCTCTAAAGACTACACCTCATACCCTTCCTAGACCCTCCCTGGAGTAGGCAGACACAGATGGTGATTCAGCCCGTGGCTATCCATAGGGTGTTTTGGGCACTATGACTCTCAGGCTACCAGCTAGCCCTGCACTGATCTTGCAGTGACTTGTGAAATAAGTTTTTCCCTGTACAGCTGCCAGGGTGTTTGGTACTCCTTGAGGATGATACCAGGACAAGGTTATCATTACAGTCATGGAGCTGACATTCCCACTAGATCAATTTTATTCCTATAGTACCCAAATATCAGTTATAATAAACAGCAGTGATTACAGTTGCATTGCAGCAGTTGCAGACAAATCTATGAAAACATTTCTTAGCAAACAGTATATATTTGAGTTAGTTTGGTGTATCTCTGGGTGAGTGTGTGTATATGTGCACCACACATGCTTGGATCTTAGGAGTGCTTCGTGAGCATACAACGAAACCTCAGAACTCAGAGATATGCTCCTCTGAGTCTTTTTTTTTGTCGCTTCCAGTTACAGAGGGCAAGTTCCAATGTTAGCAGGCTTGTTGGAACTTTCACTCTGCCACTTTCTGTATTAGAGGTAAAATCTCCAATCTGTAAGAGCTTCAGTGGGCTAATCTATAAAATGGAGTTAATAACATTCATTGCTTTCTTGGATTCTTGTGAAAATATCGTATAAACCATATAATGTGCTCAGAGTGCCAGGAAGATGGGAAACATGAAAAAAAATGAGCATTTTAGGTGGTCCCTAAGAAGAATAATTGAAGGTCAGTTTTGAATTATTACTAGCATACCATTTATTAAGTTCCATTTCTAGATACACCAGTTTTATTTGTTATATTTGTTTGTTTTTAAGAGATAATTTTCTAATTATGCTAGTTAATAGGCAAATGGGCCAAAGAACTTATGAACAATCTCTTTTTGTAAATTTCTAATTTTATTTTTAGTGAAATAAAAATTAGAGGGCTTGATATGATAGAATTTTTAAATAAATTTTTTCTCTTATAAAAAAAGCAATGCAAGTTGATAATAGAAAATAAAGAAAAGCAAAAAAATAATTTTATGGTTCTTTTTCTTATACATATATACACACATTTCAAATATATATTAATAAATGAATGTAGTATAATTAAATATTTCTTTAGGTAGAATTCATAGAACCTTCGATTACTTGGGAAAATATCCATGAAATATTATTAAATTAATAGTTTCAGAATACTCAAGAGATTCTGTTCCATGAGATTCCCTTTTATAAGATAATATATAGTTATACATGTAGCTTGGTTTTACTAATAGTCTATCAAAAATCGCTACCCTATGTGTTTATGTAACACACACTGATCATGGTATCTAAATGAATTATACCATTTTAATTTTGTTTATTAAAATTGATGTATTTTAAGCACTATTTAATGACTTAAAGCAACATAGAGAAAATGCTTTTTAATTCCCTTAGTAATATTTAATCATGAGACACTATGAAGAAAATGACTCTGTTTATAGCTTTCTATCTTAAAAAATAAATCAATTGGAAGGCCCCTTAAGTCATCAGCATGGTGTGATTAGCCACAAACACAGGTTCTCATTCCAAGGTGTTTCATCGTGGGTTCCAAGTCATTCAGTACCTGCATGCAAGACGCTCGGGAGTGCGTGTTCATTGCTGGGCATTCACTCTCCGCCCTGTTTTGCTCTTCAAACTTATAAAATCCCTGTGAAAACACAAGAAAAATCAGCCCATGACTTGGATTTGTAAATGACTCTTCAATGACACATTTACAAGAAGCTCATTTTGTAGTAACAAGATGAACTAAACTTTTAAACAATGTAGAATCTGACCAAGAAATGAAATAATGAAAAAAGAAACTCCATCAAATTAGCCTGGTAGATGACAAATACAGACATAGAAAAAAATAAGACAGTTAGTTTAGGAATAGGGGAAAAAGACTTGGTCCCTTCAGAAATTAAAATCAATCAAACTTCATTCAGAAAAGTCTCCTCTGAAATAAACATTTCAGAGTACAGTAAAACTCCATTAATGAGTCTCATCATCTCATAATTTGGAAATAACATGTATTAAATCACAACTCTGCTCTCAGGTATTTTTATGCATCAAATTTTGATGCAATTAGTGTGAGGTGTGTTTGAGTCTTGTCTCCAATCCAGCCTTTACAAAATCAGATTTCATGGGCAGCAGTTTTATAATAAAACTGAATTTATCTAGCAATTAAAACATTGCTTTTCTGTTAAGATTCTCATGTACTAAATTACTCAAATCCATCCATGCATATTCTGTACGTTTTTTCCCACTTAAGAATAAAAATAATATTCCAGACGCTCACAATAAGGGAAACTTCTAACCGCCTGTCCCACACCTTTTCTATTTTTGCTCTTCCTTTTCCACCTTCCTCTCCTCTCTCTGCATTTTCACTGCTTTGTAAATAGAAAGGCACTGAAGAGAAGAGAACACTCTGCTAATGTGGTGAAAACGGCAGGGAAAGAGTGTCCTCATCTCCATGATCCACTCAAAGTGGAGCCAGGTCTCCATCCTGCACTATAACCCAAAAACCCAGTGATGCTGACAAGGGGCTGGGGAGCGACAGCCATGCTGGATAGTCTGGGACAAAGGCCAGTGAATGTGGCCATGCAGACAGACTAGAGTCCACAGTCAAGTGCAGGAGTAATATCCAACAGACAGTCATTTAGTGTAAGAAAACAGGAGAGGGGAGGAGACATGAATTACCTCTTTTTCACAGTTGGAGTTAAGTGTAAGCATAGCCATGGGGCTGTTGGGTGCGCTGCTCCCCGGCACCGGTGGCATGACATGATCGCCAGGCTGGTTTGGACATGGCAAGCTCAGGACTTGGTTGGCATGTTTATTTGCTAAAGTGGTAGAAAGGTACTGCTTTACCTGCTGCCTTTGGGCTTGCTGTATGTGGTACTTGGTGGGGTTTTCAAGGTGAGTCTGCACCTGAACATAGCCATGGAGGGAAGAGAAGACAGCGCTGTTATTTGTGAGTTCGGACAGCTCTTGTTTCAGGCATAAAAATGATGTGCCAGTCGATTGACAGAATAAATAAGTAGTCTCTGTTGTGTACTAGGCTCTAGGTTCATGAATTTTTGATATTATTGAAGTTCAAAGTCTAACTCTTAGCATTTGGGCTCATACTTTGCCCTGTTTTATCTCCCTAATAATGACTGGCATATCTCTTTGAAATCCCTTTAAGACCCTCTTTTCATGTCTAATAACCAAAAATGTGCAATTATGTGTAGGGCAAAAATTTCCCCACACACACCTGAAAGGGTTTATCAAAACAATAATCTAGAAGAAGGAGCATATCCCAATTTGGACTTCACTTTCCTTGACACAGGTAACAGCTTTTGTTTAAGAAAAAAAATTCCTTAAGAAACAACTGTCAAATGGTTGTCTAAAATAAACAGAAACATTCTGACAAGTAAATCAATTAGTTGTGAATTAATTCCTCCCACTTTCATTTGGACATGATTATTCAACATTTTAATAAGGATTGTGAACTCAATCTAAAAAGTAATTGCATATTAAGCAGCTTCTTTCAAAGCATTAACATTTGTATGCATGTGTTTTTAAATACACAAATATTAAGCTATCACAATATTTTTCCTCCTTAGTTCTTATAAACACTAATACAAATCAGAAATATTTTTAGTGAACTTAAAGTCACTTTTTCTTGATTAAACACAACTTCGTCTTGCGAGCCAAGCACAGGGGCTCATGGGGAAAGCACAGCCATGCACTAGAAAGAAATCCTACAATTTAACTTTGTTTAAAACTAAAATTGGATTACTTCTTATGGTATCAAACAATAAGCAGCATCAAACTATACTTATTTCAACAATTATTGAAAATAGTGTGTTTATTACAATAAAAGGTAAATCACTCAATTTACTGCATTATATTTCAGAGACTAAAAGGAATAAAAATAAAGCTCACCTGATAGTGATTATATTCTAGCATTTCCAGCATAACAACGTTTTAGGTGGCCCCAGTCCAACGAGAAATGGTAGACTATTCACTCTCTCTATTTCTGTAATTCCGATTCGGAGACTGACTGGCATAGAGAAGGCACTATAAACAAGGTATCCTGAGACACCACCGGAAACTTTGTCACAGCAGCCCTGCTTATAATAACCTAAGCCAATTAGTTATGCATGTAAAAAACCCATTCACACAAGAGCTTTTTCTTTTTTTTGGAAGCCCTATGAGTTTGGTCTTAAATATTAATACCAATTTCCCCCCTGGCTTGACATCATGCTTTTTTTCATAAGTATAAAAGAACCTTTTAAAGTGATGAGCTATCAAAGTCAAACTCACTGTCAGATCAAGGCCAATTCACTATTCATCTTTAGTTCCAGTAGTATTAATAGACAATGGTATTTCTCTTTCAGCAATAGGTTAAGAGCTAGATGCCCCCTTTGGAGAACATACTGCCCAAAAGCTGCTGTTACACATGAGATTTTTCTAATGGCCAAATATCTCTGCAGGAAGACAGTGTTTTTAGTGTGGAGTCTGTACTGAACCCGCAGGTCCCTCAGCCTGGTCTCAATGCATTTTACCCTTAGTTGGAGAGATAAGTAACCTTCCCATTAACCTCACATCAGGAGGAGAGGGAGCTCTCCTAAAAAAAAAACTGAAACATGTGCATGTGCACACACACAACTAAATGTATATTTATGTGGATATATATTTAAGTGGAATAAATTCTCCCAATTTAAGCCTCAAATTAGAAACCATAAAAATTTTTACTAAAAACCTCTTAATATAATTCTTGGACCTAAAGAAGAATAAGAGTAATTACAAAACTAATACATCTATATATTTAACTCACTTATCTACTCCATTATTTACTGTTATTATGTTCTAAACACTGTGCAAGTCATAGAATATACATTGTGAACAAACCGATATGACTGCCAGCTTTTAAGGAGGCAATGGAAGAAAAAGGTTGAAATATACATCTAAAATTATGACAGTGGTTAATATTCACTGGTGAGTTGGGAGCTATTTTAAGCATAAACATTTGAAATTCAGTAATTCTGTCCAAGATATGTGCAAAAGAATGAAACTAGACCACCTTATACCACACAAGAATAAATTTAAAATGCTTCAAAGGCTTAAATGTTAGACCTGAAACCATAACAATCCCAGAAGGAAACACAGGCATTGAAATCTCAGACATTGCTTGTACCAATATTTTTTCTGATATACCTCCTTAGGCAAGGGAAAAAAATAAACAAATGGGACTATGTCAGACCAAAAAGGTTTTGCATGAAACCATCAAAAAATAAAAAGACAACCCAATTGAATGGTAGAATATATTTGCCGATAAATCTGATAAAGAGTTAATATCCAGAATTTATAAGTAACTTATAAAACTCAACACCAAAATCAATTAGATTAAAAACTGAGCAACAGACCTAAATAGACACTTCTCCAAAAAGGATATACAGATGGCAAACAGATATATGAAAACATGCTCACTGTCACTAATCATCAAAGAAATGCAAATTAAAATCACAATGAGGGATAACCTCCCACCTGTCAGAATGGCTACCATCAATAAATCAACATTCAAAAAGTGTTGGCTGGAGGGTGTGGAGAAAGGGGAACCCTTTTTGCACTGTTGTGGGAATGCAGACTGGTTATAGCCACTGTAGAAAGCAGAATGGAATTTCCTCAAAAAATTAAAAGTAGAACTGCCTTATGACCCAATGATTCCATTTCTGGGAATGTAATTGAAGAAACCCAAAACACTAATTTGAAAGAATATAAGCAACCCTAGGTTCATTGTAGCATTGTTTACAATCACTTACTTTAGAAGCAGCCCAAGTGTCCATCAGTAGATGAGTAGATAAAACAACTATGGTAATACTATTCAGCCATAGAAAAGAAAGAAAATTTTACCCTTTGGAACAGGATGGATGGACCTGAAGAACATTATATTAAATGAAATAAATAAGCTAGTCAGAGAAAGAAAAACACCATATAATTTTACTCATATGTGGAATCTAAGGAAAAAAAATGGAACTAACAAGCCAAATAGAGTCAGACTCATAGATTATAGAACAGGCTGACAGTCTGGGGTATGGGGTTAAGAGGGTGGAAAGACTGAGCAAAAAAGAAAAAGGACACATGGACAACCGTGTGGTGATTGTAGGGAAGATGGGAATGGGTGGAAAAGGGTGTATAAGGGGGATAAATGGTAATGGAAAAAATATGATTAAAGTAAATTAATTAATAATATAATAATTCTGTCCACATGCCCAGGATAATGAAGTTCTTTAGGGTGACAGTCTCAAGTTGTTTCAAATGACTGGTCTAACATGCACACAGAGGTTCACAGAGACATTCTAAGTTTCATAAAGGGTCCAGACACAATAATGAGGATAACAGACTACTAAAATAAACATTAAATGAGGGCAATGAGTGTAAAGCGCATATTTCACGATTACACTTAAAAAAGAAAAGGCTGCACATTTAAAAATAAATGTTAATTCACTGACAGATCCTTATTCCTTAATGAATCAGATTTTCATGCCTTTATAAGGAAAGAAGCCACTTCATCTTTATTTAGCTTTGTTAGTGAGGTCTTCATTATGTCCAGGTTGGGGTAATCACAGTGGGATGTCAGTGTCTTTTTAGGTTTCAATTAAGTTGAGAACAGATTGGCTCTAAACACTATGCAGTAGCTAGACCATCTACAGCTGTTTCCAATCCAAACACCTAAAATAGGAAGCATAAATGAGATTTATGCATGCCCTCTGGGTAGAAATAGGAAGTAGTGAGATCTGTGGCAAACTACAGGACATACATTTCACCTAAAAAAGAACAGCTGAGATAAGCTTCAGCCACTCTGGTGATATGGGAAAATCAGACCAGTATAGCTATTTAGCTGGCAATCTGAACTTCAGTAAAATTTCCCAGATTAAAAAAAAAAAAAAGATGCCTAATTGATTTTTCACATTGTACAAAACAAATCAAACACATCTGTGCCTGGACTCAGCCCAGAGGCCACTAGAATGTGGTCTCTGCTTTTCACTGTTCATAAGGACAATCTTCACATCTACTTTCCCTGGGGGTGGCCCATGTTCTGAGAAGTTCCTGTCAAAATCCAGGCATTTCCTGGGGCTTCTCTGAGAGGCAGTGTGTGCCTGACAGCATAGTCAGCAGAATAGTTAAGGATTCGAAAACTGGGCTGAAATTCTGACTTTACAAGTTACTACTTATGCGATCTTCCACAAATCATTAACTTTTCCAGGCTTTCCTTTCCTAGCTACTGAGTGGGGGTGATAGCGGAACTTGTTGTATAGAGGTGTTTCCAGAGATGTAGCAATGTATCTGAAACAGGTGTTCTCGAATTTCTTTTATCTTAGCACACTTTTTTAACTCTTCAAATACTTCTTGATATTATTATGAAAATAGTTTTGACCTGGCAGGACCACTGCAAGGGTCTTGGAGACCCCCCAGGACTCTCAGACACACTTTGAAAACTGATCTAGAACAATTATCACTCTAGCATTCTCACCATGCCATCTGAGCCATGTCATTCACCACTTGGATGAAGGAAGCAGGACACACAGAGGATGTCAATTGTCACAGAAGATGCTGGGAGAAGACACTAACCCTGCACTAACTTCCTCATAGCATTACTATGAGGTTCTGTAGTCCTCTGACTATTTAAAGTCCATATAAATATACTTTTCTGTCTTCAACAATCCTGAACCATAGCTTTTTGGCTAGTAACTTCCCCTTCATTAATTTTTAAATAGCCAGCACACAAGCATGCAAATGAGAACATATGTGGCATTAAACATGTACATGATTTCTTGGTAATTTTTGCATATTTGACCTTCAAACCAACCACCCAAGTTGAGGAATTAGGACAGCAAAAGTTAGGTACTGGTCAGCACTTTAAAGCACAGACCACAAAATAA